TGTATGATAGGTCAGGCATGAGAAGTCTTGTAAAATGGCAACATACTTTCTGCCGGTAAGTGTAACGCTAGCATCTAAACATAGTTGGGCAGTATTCTAATAGAGGCCGAACACATAACTTATATAGTGTGGTTTCGGATTGCTTTAAATGGAAATTATAATTGATAAACCCAATAAGTCTGCGGGCTTTAGAGATGTAGCCTGCTCGGTGATTGAAATACATTTGGAATATTTCACTCTCAAATCTCAGGTGCTACTTAGCTACTTAGATCTCGTATCATTTTCAATGTTTGGCCTTGACTATTTATGGGTTTGAAATAAAAGAAGAGATTCCAAGTGTGTTCAACTCCATATCCTATAGAAACAAAAAGGACATAGTGCAAGAAACACCGTTTCGACAGTAAGGCTTCGTTTCTCTTGCTGACGTCACCAAGAAGTTACCACATTTTATACCCCTACTACTGGTTCTTTGTTGGACTTTCTTGGTTTGTGTATGTTTGCTATTATTGTGGAAGTTTTAATGGGTAAGATAATCTTTATATATCTTAACCACAGCGTTGCCAATTATTTGCTATTGTAGCTTTCGAATAAAAACGTTTGGCACTATCTGTTAATTATTTCGAGAGCGAAGAATGTCGATGAGTCAAAATTCTATCTATCTGGAAGAAATCTCGTTAGATGGACGCGATATGGTATGGAATATGAACTAATATTAAGAGAGGAACAAATAATTTGATTGACTGTAAACTATTCTTCTGAATGGCATTCTTTTTGCTTGGTTTTGGATAGATTTACCTAAACTAAGCATAAATATGGTTTGTTTGAACTTCTGATTTCCGAGTCACTTTCACTAGATATTTCGGAATTTTCCCTCAGGAAGCCCAAAAACTGAACTGTTGTTATGAGAAATAATTTTGTGATTAGCATTTCAATTCAATGGATTGGCATTTCGCACATGACAAACAAAATCTGAATTTCGAGACCTGTAATTTCGACTTCTATATATTTGCTTGGTAGTCGTGAGTTACTTAAACAGCTGTTTTTCAAGAGAAGGTCGGAAAAAGAATTCTGGATACATCGGTCAGTTTCACTAGAGAGATTTTTTACAATATCTTCCAGTGACCCGAAGAGTGACTGGTATCGAAAGAGAGTTGAGTCCAATTTAGAATACGAAATACGTCTCAGCATGAAAATTTCTGCAAATGTTACTATAACATATTAAATCAATTTGTAAAATAGTGAAACGTTCCTGGATTACTCGATGAATTCAGATTGTCCAGTAGACTTGACTCGGACACAGAAAGTTGTGACAAATAGTACGAATCCAAAAAGAACCAAATAAAACGCACATTATTCAAACTAATTATATGCACATTATGCTGGTGACTTCGTTACTCACTTGTTTTGGCACAAATCTGAAAAGACTTCAAGCAAACACAAGAGATTCGTAAAATGAACAATCAAAAATGAGTTAGAGACTACAGAAACTCTTGAGCTCGAAATCACCATATGTTTTTGCCATTTTCTCCTTGTTGTTTAACGACAAAACTCAAGAATCGAAAATTAGGCATGGAGTGTTCGAAAGAAAGAATATTTGAGCTCAGCTCATGGCTTAAAATAGAGCAAAATGTTTAGTGAGGCAAAAAAAAGGATTACGCCCAGATAACTATTCAGTTCATGCTCACATTAATTATCGGCCTGTATGTATTTTTGTTGATAAGGTTCCCTGGTTGTTAGTTATTGATATTTCAAGAAATCAACTCCCCAAACGTGCGTAAATACTACTAAAGACTGGTGATGAACTATAATGCCTAGACATTGTAGATCACCAACGTAGATGATCTATGTCGAATGATTAGAGACCTACTGGAGTTGAACGGGAATGGCGTGACGAACTGACTAACGTTGAAGTCACACCTCGTGGTCAGCACCTTACGTGGACTACCCCATTGACGCATCAAGGTACTATAGATGCTTTGAAGACTGTACAACACAGAGGACGTTGTTACAGTAATATATTAGTTAAAGTAGATACAAGCGAAAGTAAGACCACTACCCCATGAGCCAGTCCATGGCGTACGATTAACTAATGCGCGTTGGTCGTCCCTGATCTTGACGAGGATCGATGATTTGCTCGATATTCAATGACTCAACTGCCGGATAATTTGTCTAGGGCTTAGTGACATTTCGCAGGCCCTACAACATAAATAAAGTTGCTAAGCTTTTAGTATCGACTGAACTGGTTGGGTGACTCTGAATACCAAACAGTAATACAGTGAGAAAGTGGATGTGAGCACCATTCCTTGAACTGGTAGAAGAAAAGGCTAAAACAAGTAAAAATCAACAGAGAAATTTAAAACGAATGGAAAAATTGGAAACAGACTGGGTTTCTCTATTCGCCAAATGAGGGATTTAGGTTTAGGTAATTGTTAGCGCACTTATCTTTGCTACTGGAAAAAACAGACTAAATCTAACATCGTGGACTTGCCATTGTAATGAACGAAAACTCGGATATAGTAAGCCAATTCATTGTGTGATGAAAAATTATAAACTATACTTCTTAACATAGGAAAAAAATTCAGTTTATAATCGTTCATTCTTTCGTTTATGTACTATTTGTATCTCTTCGTTTTTGTGAGAATTAAATGGTAGTCATTGCTTTCTGGCACCCTAGTCATGTACTTCCAGTATAATTTACACGATCAATTCCCTCAACGTTGCAATATAATCATATCAGGAACATTTGCACGAAGGCTATAAGAGATGACAGGCTCCAGTACCAGACAAAGCTTATGGACAAATTTGCCTCTAATCCTAAAAGCTTATTCCGTTATGCAGCCTCTATTCGTCAAGCCAAAACTGGAGGTCCCAACTGCTAGGTCTCAACGGCCCGACCAACAACGATGGCGACGCCGCTAACCTTCTGGCTGAACAGTACTCCCAGACATTTCAACCGACCAACATTAACTTTACTGATGATAGTTTCATTTGCAATTTCACAGGACTCTCCGAAGTGTACCTAAGTGCTGACTTGGTGTTCCGGAAACTGCAGCACATAAGATTAGACACTTCTCCTGGCCCGGACATGGTCCATTCCGCTATATTGAAGGAAGCAGCCTCAATCTTGGCAACGCCGCTTAGCATGATGTTCTCACACTCGATAAGTCGAGGAAAACTACCGGAAAATTGGAAGCTGGCTCACATCACACCAATTTTCAAAGGAGGTCGACGCAGCGAACCTTCAAGTTATCGGCCGGTAGCTCTTCTGTCGTTACCTTCAAAACTCATGGAGTCCCTGATATGCGACGGTTTAAATGACTATCTACTGTCCTTAAATTTCTTCTCACCCCAACAGCATGGTTTCAGGAAGGGTTACTCTTGTATAACCAACCTGCTGACTGCGGTGGACAGATGGACAAGCATCCTCGATCGCAAGGGAAAGGTTGATGTCATTTACCTTGATTTCTCAAAAGCTTTTGATAAGGTTAACCACTTGTGTCTTATCAACAAGCTCAAACGACTAGGTATCAAACCACCTCTAATCGATTGGCTTACTTCATACCTAAAAAATCGACACTTTAAGGTTAGGGTTAATTTCACTTTATCTCAGGCTATGGAACGTCCTAGTGGGGTCCTCCAGGGCTCAGTACTAGGACCTCTTCTCTTCTTGATCTACATAAATGATCTTCCTCAACGAGCAACGTCAGACTTATTACTTTTTGCCGACGACGTGAAACTTTAGAGAGAGATACGCAACCAAGACGATATACAGGCACTTCAGGAGGATCTGACTCGACTTCAAAGTTGGGCAGACGATAACGGACTTACCTTTAACACTTCAAAGTGTAAAGTAGTCCATCTGCGACATGTTGCAAACTACAGTTACAACTTAGGAAACCCCTCCCTAGTAGTATCCCAAGTCGAAAAAGATTTAGGAGTCCTGGTGCCCCATGACTTAAAGTCTTACGCTAACTGTGACAAAAATGCCTTCCGAGCAAACCTTGCACTGGTAACATTGAAGTGCATTTTTGGACAGTTTGACGGACGAACTTTCTATACAATCTTCAGTAGTTTCATCCGTCCCCATTTAGAGTACGGAAACATAGTACTCCCTCCCTCACTCCAAAAGGACAAGGTCACTTTGGAGCGTATCCAACGGCGAGCCACGAAATCAGTTCGAGGACTCAAATTTAAACCTTATGAAGAGCGCTTCCATTCACTTAACCTTTACCCATTAGAGTATAGACGTCTTAGAGGTGACCTTCTGATGACTTGCAGTATTCTTAACACTTCTGGACATTCTCTCAAACACCTACTTAAGCTTAGTTTCAAGACTAACCTAAGGGGTAACAACCGAAAACTGGAAACACAACATAGCAAGACGGAATGTAGACACAACTTCTACTCCTTAAGAGTTGTCAAATGTTGGAGTTCGCTGCCGGCCGAGCTAGTCCAAGCGACTTCCCAGGAGTCCTTTAAGAGGCAACTTGATATATTCTTAAGGACTAAGGATAGTATCGCACTATGATTTATCAATTTCTTTTCCTGTTTTCTTGTTAACATACCTAGGTTCCTGCCTGGAGGATTTGGTGATCCCCTACTACTAGACACGGAAACCTGTTAAGCGAAAGCTTCTTCTATTCCGTCCACAACCATTTGAACCACTTGAAACATTTTGCTTTTAGTGCTATACTTCAAATAGTGTAATTTGTTTCCGAGCTCTGAGAGTCATGGGAAACACTAGCAAATTGAAGTCTTATTTAATTTTACTTCAATACATTATATTAAATACCTCGTTTTATTTATGTGAGGTAGTAAATGGTGAAGATCTTCTCGAAGGAAAAGTACTCAGACATGTACACTTAATATATAGTCATGGGGACAGTTCTCCAGCTTACCGAATTCCACAAATTTACCCTAATTTCGAAGGCATTTGGCCTGAAGGGACTGACAAGCTGACAAATATTGGGCTTCAACAACAATTTATTCTAGGTCGATGGATGCGTATGAATTATTTGACATTCGTACCACAAAAATATAACAGCTCAAATTACCATTTAAGGAGTACAGATGCAGATAAAACTTTAATGTCTGCCATGGCAAATTCAGCCGGATTCTATTGGCAATCATCCTCACCTTTTGATGGATCCAAGTTGTACTGGTCTCCTGTCCCGGTTCATGAGGTCTCAAAGGTATATTTAAACACTTATTGAATAAAAATAAGATGAATGTTTAAAACGGTTGATTATTAAAGTAAGCATGAAGAATTATAGGGACATAATTTTGGATGGAGTCTTGATGTCAACACGAACCATTTATTTGCTTTTAGTTTTTAACAAACTATATAATTCTAAGAAATATCTTACTCGAGACTATGTTTAGAACCCATTGAAATCTTTACTACATTGTTAAAAAGACGAGAAAATGTAATAAGGCACCTCAAATATTTGTCAGATCGAAAAATTGTTTATTAATATGAAGCTTTTGCTATTGGTTTTCTTCCCAACTTATCTTCAGTCAGTCTTCAGTCTTCAGTAATAAGGATAGTAGGTTGATGAACCTGTGTTAATCCTGACACATTGCTTTCCAGTGAAGGTCCAGCTTTTCCTTGAAAGTATTCACTGATGGGGCTGATACCACTTGTTCGGGTAAGGCGTTCCAATGATTGACTACTCGATGAGAAAAACGGGACACCACTTTAAGTTTATTAGATCGTGGTTTATGAACCTTCTTGCTATGACCTCGGAGATTATTAGTGCTGGAGGGAGCAAAAAGATAAGACATATTAACACCCAAATAATAAAGATACGGAATGCCATTATAAGGTCACCTCGTGTCCTACGATACGACGTGGGGAAAAGATTTAGGCGTTTTAAACGCTCATCGTAAGGGAGTCTAGAAAGACCCTTCACTAATTTCGTTCCCACACGCTGGACACGCTCAAGGGAGTTAATATCCTTTATCAGACACGGGCTAGCTGCTTGGATACAGTACTCTAAATGTGGTCTTACATATATGGGATATAAAATTCGAAACGTTTCCTCGTCAAAAGATTTGAACGCTCGGCGAAATGACCATAACGCACGAAAACCTTTGACGGTGGCTGCTTTGCAATGCGTAGTTGTTTTTAAATCATGACTTAATATTACTCCTAAGTCTTTAGGCTCTTGAACGCATGGAAGAGGTTTACCCTCAATAGTGTAACGGTAACTATTACCGTGACCGATGTGCATTAGCACACTCTTCCTAGCATTGATTTCTAAGCCCCACTCTCGAGCCCATCTAACTAAATCGTCTAAGTCAGCTTGAAGATCCACATGATCAGCCGCACTTTTTATTGTTCTCCAGATTTTTACATCATCCGCAAACAATAATGTCGACGACCTAAGTAACAAGGGTAACTCATTAACGTAGAGAAGGAAGAGCAGAGGGTCTAAGATGGTGCCTTGGGGTACACCACTTTTGACCGGCTTCCAATCGGATAGCGTTCCGTTGACCCTCACTCTCTGTCTGCGGTCACATAAGAAATTTCCTATCCACGCATGTACAGTACCTATTATTCCGAAGCTCGTGAGCTTCTGCATAAGACCTACGTGTGAAACCTTGTCAAATGCTTTGCTAAAATCTATGAATATCACGTCGACAGACAGACCGTTATCTAGGGCTGCTGTCCAATCCTCCCTCGCAATCAGCAAGTTAGTCAAGCGTGAACGCTTGTTACGAAATCCGTGTTGCTCAGGAGCTAACAGATTGTGTGAATCTATGTGGCTTATCAACCTAACCCGAATTATCTTTTCAAGTAACTTAACGACTATGCTAGTTAGACTGACAGGCCGGTAGTTAGATACTATCTGTTGCTGACCGTCCTTAAATATAGGACTAACTATAGCGTCCTTCCAATCTCTAGGGAGTTGAGCGAGTGAGAGGGACATGTTGAAGAGTGTCGCAAGCGGTTTTGAAATAATGTCCGCAAGAGATGATAGCAACCGTGGTTGTAACCCGTCAGGGTCCGGTATCTTACCAGGTTTGAGGTTAGTTATCAACGGAAGGACAGTTTCCCCAGTCACCTGTACAGATTCAATGGTTGGTATCTCGGTGTGAGTGGGACAAGTATTTGTTACAATAAACGTAGGGAAGACTTCGTTAAAATAGTCTGAAAAAGTCTCAGCTTTTGCTCGATCTGATTCAGCTAGTAATTCTGAATTTTCGTGTAACAGTAACGGGGGGAATACCATCACTACGTTTCATTTGCCGTTTAACATACGAAAACAATCGTTTCGGACAAGTACGATTGTCATATACTAACTGTCGTTCGTAAGTGGTACGGGATTTCGCTATGGTTTTCTTACAGATATTACGGTATTTTTGGTACTCACGCTTAAATGGTGCACGACCTGTCAACAAGAATAAGTCCCAGAAATGTTTCCTACGCTTTAACAGCTTCCGGGTTTCCTTATTAATCCATGGAGGGCAATGTGATAGCTTACGTGCTGACCATGATCATAGAAAGTAATAATCGGAGAGTATTTGACTAACTGTCTCCGTCTTTTGAGAGAGGTAAAAAATATGCGTTCTATAACGAGGAATCCGTCTTTAAAATGATTTGCCGCTTGTATGGAGCTTTAATTATTTTCTCACTAAACCAGGTGAATGGGACTCCATCATGACTTTTTGACGTTCAGCCTTCTGTATGTTTACGCCTAGCCTAAAGGTACTTTGTGCCCCCAAGCAGTGTTTAAGGCAGCGTATAACGTGGTCTAAAACAAAGCAAAGCGGAAGAAAAAGCGAGCTGTCAACTCACCATCGTAATAAAATGCATATATATTTATTGATAAAATCAGCCAATAAAAATGATCTCTAACAACTGCAAGATCAAGACGGTATGGCGAATCAAGCCAGAAGTAGGTAGAAAAAGTCATCAAATGTGTTACAATCTATCTAAAAGTGGTGTTCAAAATTTTTCGAATCATTCAGTTTATCTCTGTGTACAAGGCTACGATTTCCCCAAAGTATTCCAAAATGAAATAGTACATGAGGCTTTATTACATATTCCCTGATAGATTCTTACAATTTGACATAATCATTGTAATACACAAGCTTTGAGGATTATGTAAAGCGTTAGTTTAAAGATGGATTATCAAAGTTTTGTTACAGAAATTCAAGGGCAGAGCTTAGATACCTTATTTTATTCTACAAAAATACCTCAAATAACGTTTGAATGGCTCTTTTATACGTTGAAACTTTCTAGGCTTACGTTCAGCTGGCTTTTACTCCGCAACTTAAACTTCATGTATGCATTAGAGTAAATGGTAAAGTTCAGTGACCCAACTCTCAAGATTTATGCTCGGCAGCTTTTAAAAATGTATATGTTTTCAGTTTTATGCATTAAATATTGCATTGTATCTGTAGTGTGGTTTGTGTACATAAATATAAGTTTACAGTCAATAGATTATTTACAAGTTGCGTAGTATTTCTCAAGATGGCATTGTGATATTCAAACTGGTGCGTAAAATTGTGTTTGCATTAAAAAAGAAGTTTTTACCAAAGTTAAGTATGTTATATAATTATCTTGACCTTTTACATGACTTCTTCAATAAATAAATGGACTGAATTAACTAGGTTTAAGATTAAACTGTAGAAAATCTTTCAGAAAATTCAAGGGAAGATTTGTGAACACAAACAGCGCTTATTGAGAAAACATGAAGGCAGTAAAAAACCCATATATGATGGAAAAAATAGTGCGGTCAATAATCACCAGTATGGAAAACATCTAACATGTGTACTCTTATTTAGATGGTGGTTGGAGGTAGTCAACAGGAAACCCTGAACCCGGGTTTCGTACTACTTGGCACTCGTCAGCAAGGTGCACCTTTAATCTTGAGGGAACTGGTGCTCTCTGACGGATTCGATCTCGTGTCACCCAGCTTCACAGTCAGAGACGTTACCACTGAGCTATCCAAGCCGTGACTAACCACCATCTAAATCTCAATACGTAGTGCCCGCACTGTCGAGTCACCTAGACTGGTGGCCACATTGCAACATGATCGATAGCATTCGATCTGCACTAATAAGGACTAGACAAGCATGACACTGATCACCACCCAGTGATCAATCAATTGTGATGTGTACTCTTATATCTATCCGAATTATAAAATGACTTATTAGACAACCCATGAAAATCAGGAAATACTGGAATGATGTTTCATCCTGATATGAAACTACTCATTTGTGTTCATCCACGGCCACATCGAGAGAAGAACTTACAACCCTAAGGTTACGGCGGATTTGGCTGATGTTCAAACCATTCAGTTGGCCTTCAATGCCTAATGTATCCGTAAAAATATCAAACTTTAATTCGTATCAAGAACAAAAGATTTTGTTGACAAGTGAATCTCTTCGTTTAAATTGGTTATGCGCCAATTAAGTCCTTTATTCTAAACCTGAATTTTAGTTACTGGCAGTTATTTTTATCAAAACATGCCAAAAGTATAAAACACCTAAGAAGTGGATATTAAATCGTAGAAAAAAATCTTAGGAGATCACTATTTCTATTTATTTATTTATTATTTGATTTATTAGATTTCTGATATACTTTTCGGTTCATATAACTGTCCACGTTTAAGAATATTGCAAATGATGCAAATGTATATGACCTATTCAACAAGATTTGAAAATCAACATAAAAACTTGTTTGAAATTCTTAGAAATAATACTGGTTTATTAATCAATCGATTAACTATTGAACAAATTGCTAATTTTATTCAATCTATCAAAAACTACAAGGTTACATTACCTTCATGGTGTACTAAAGAACTTCTAAATGAATTATTTGAAGTTGCAGACTATTATTGGATAGTAAGTTCTTTAGTATATAAGTTTAGTTTAACTTATCTATTTATTTTAACTTCATTAACTTAAATATTGACTAGATAGTAGAAAAAAATAAACACGAGACGTTTTTATTTTAAATTTTCTAGTATTTATGTACTTTTTGAAATCTTTAACATAGTTTAGATTCAATAGAACTAGTTTGTTTTAATCATAAAGTCAGTTGATTTACAAAGAATGAAACTTAAGTTCAACTTAACTATTTATCTGAATAGAATATAAAGAACACTAGAAAGAGAATAATATAAATTCAATTTAGTTGTTTGGTTCTGTTCAAATATTGTCTTTTTTTAATGAATATTAAATATTGTGAAATAAGTGAAATCACAAAATTTAATGCTGTCAACTTATTTACCTACGTTTGTTACTCCCAATGGAACATAGGTAGCCGATCAGCATTCTTCAACTCACTCTTTCCTGGACCTTCCTTTCTGATTCTATTCAATTTTCATTCATTCATCTGATTTCTGTCTCCGTTTCTCGACGTTCTGTGTTCTTTGGTCATTTGCCTCTTATTTGGCCTTGAGAATCTCAAATGAAAACTTGCCCTGTGATATAGTTGGGTGCTTTCCTCAATGTGTCCTATCCACTTCCAGCGTTTCTTCCTGATTTCTCCCTCCACTGGAATCTTGTTTGTTCTGTGCCTCAGTAGGCTATTGCTGATAGTGTCTGGCCAACGGATCCGAAGCATTTTACGTAGACAACTGTTAATAAACATTGGTATCTTCCGGATGATGGCTTTCGTAGTTCTCCAAGTTTCCGCCTCATACAGTAGAACTATCGTGACATTTGTATTGAAAATCCTGACCTTGGTGTTGGTTGCCAGTCGTTATAAATTCCAGATGTTATTCAGTCGTATATATGCTGCTCTTGCTTCATGTCTGCATCCGATCCACCGTGTTCATCAATGATGCTGTCCAAATATGTAAAAGTTTATATATCTTCCAAATCTTTTCCGTCAATCGTGATTGGATTGGTGCATGCTGTGCTGTGTCGGCGAATCTTGGTTTTTCCTTTGTGTATGTTGAGACAGTTAACCAGAGAAAATGCTGTCAATTTATAAGATAACTTAAACACTGATATGTGTAAAACACAAAATAAAGGTAAAAAAAGAAATTTTGTAAAAGCTGGAAATTATTATTATACATCAAATAGTAGTAACTATTGTTATATTTTAAGCCCGTTGACATATGAGCGCTAATGTTTACACAGTTTCTTATAAATAGCAATCGTGTAAAAGGTAGACTGAATTTATCATCAAGTTTAGTCAATTAAACTAGTGATCATGTCACAAACAATCAATCACATGGACTAGATAATCATTAATTATTCCTAAGTGATTAATTTCTTATAACTGACACGTTTTAATTAATTGTTTATTTACAAGATAAAATATTAATTTCTATTTTAAACTCTTATATATATTCCAATGGTTATGATGATGAGTCCATTGAAGTAAGACTACCATTGAAAACTTGGTAACACTAGACGGCTGTTCGATCCTCCTCAGCAATACGCATCCATGACTCATAATCTTAACCATTGAAATTACTAATAATATTTCACAAAACTCTCTTCTAATCTTATCTATTCCATTATTTATATTTAGGAGAAATATGTCAAATCATCAACTGATATAATTCGTTTAGAAATTGGTTTATTCCTACACAATATAATTCAACATATTTATTCAATTATTCAAGGAAAATCAATTCATATTTCAAAGAATATTACATTATCTAATAAACATTTAATGGTTTCTTCAATAACAAATCATCAATTTGCATATTTATTAAATGCTTTTGGTATATTGAATGATAATAATAATAAACCAATTGAATATGCTTCTGTTATTTCATTAGAATTATATGGTCCATCTATTCTATCCAATAATAATCATAATGATCAATATATTTTAAAAATTTTATATAAAAATGGTTGGATTGATGAAATTGGTCATTATGTAATATTACCAATATGTAAAAAATTTAATTATTTTTATGATTGTCCATTAAATTTAATTATAAAACAATTAAATATATTCACTATTAATCCACAATTCTATATTAATGAATGTTCATTGATTTTAGATCAATTAATCAATAATAATCATAATAATCATAATCATAATCATAATGTATATGAATTCCTTCCATTCAATTCATCAATTAGAATAAATGTTGTTATTTTTATATTAAATTTTATATTAGTTATCATTTTATGGAGTTTTGTTATTTATTTTAAAAAATTAGAAAAAAACAGAAAAAAAAGAGAAAACAACAAAACAAAAATTATTGAACAATTAATAATCAATCAATAAATAAATAAATAATTATTTTCTTTTAATTTTTATCAATAATCATCATATGAATTTATTTATTGTTTACATGTTTATGACCTTGAATGACCTTTAATGAGTATCATTAAAACATTTTTAATTATCTTATTATTATTATTATTATTCAATGAATTTATTGTTATGATTCATATTATTATTTAATTAAGTATTATAATCTTTCTATTATGTCATCTTGGTTAGTTCTTGGTCATAATTCCTCATGGAATTAGTACTTTAACAAAACAGTTCTATATGTATATATATACGATTGTGCAGCTGGATAATAAATTCGTTGAAATGAGATCCCTTCATTGAACTTTATGTTTTTAATTTTTAAATGAGTATTTACCAATTTACATGTTTGTATCGACATACATACATACATAGGGAGGAATAATCGAATAATACAATCAAAAATCATTGAACATGTGAGTAGATGGTTACAAAATCAATGTGTATCAAATGATCCGATTAATGTGACAGATAAAAAACCATGTTCATCGATAACTGAAATTCACATTAATACAGCTTTTAAAATGTTGTATAGAAATGATCAAAGACGAGTTTAAAAGCTTCTTGAAGCTTTGACTATTTGTAAATATAAATCTCGTCTCATTTAATTGACCTTTATTAATTTTTATATAAAATGCCCTGACAAGTATATATGTGTGTGTGTGTGATCAGTTTACTGAAAATGTACAGTGCAAATAGATCATATTTTTCAGATCAACTCCGCTATCTCATTGTTCTATCGAAATTTATAAAATGCACTAATTGCTTTAAATGATTATTATGTCATTTATTGTATTTCACTTTATAAACAATCAACACGTGAATACACACAAACATACACACACTCATGAATGTATATATACTTAAAGGTTAACATCGTAGATTACAAACTACTTTACTTGATTAATTTCATCTTTGGCCGTATTCAACAATTCCATGGTCTATGCATTAGAAAAAGCAGTGAGGTGATATTTATTGTATTTTTTTCTGGTTAGTTTTTTACGGGATGGGGTAGCTAACCCCATGCCCAACCCTCCTCATTTACCCGGGCTTGGGACCGGCAGTAACTGTGGAAGAGCTACAGGCTGAGTGTTATTGTATTATATTCATAATTAATTTTTATATCTAATCAAAATGAAGTAAATTTTTTTGATTGTCTATAAACTTTAGAACTTTATTATTTTTTTTCTTTGAATTTGGAATATATAATTTATTTGGACTGAATAAATAAATTACCGTCAACGACATTTATTCAATAGGAATATAAGTTATATATAAGATATAAATTTACTAATCAGAGAGGGGTTTTGTGTATATTATAGTAATTTTGATTGTTGAATTCATGAGTTGATTGAAGATAGACCACTATGGAAAACCTGGAAGCACTAGTATGGGACGAAATGGCCATTCATGGTGGTCTACCTTTAATTGACTTATAGTGACCTACCTTTATCAAGAGAACGCGATTGGTTTAATGGAAACACTTATTATTATAACCAATTGTACCAGGGATTGTTTTACTATGCTTGTTTATTTGACTGTACTAAAGACATACGTTCTTCCGTTAATTGTGACGTTGAACGGATTCGGTTACGCTCAGTAACCAAACTTGTACTCCTTTGGCACGATCTCGATATTCTTTCGATGCCAGGAGATCGCCAACGAATACATCTCGAATACAGCCATCAACTGCCTTCTAATATTTGGCTTACGGGGGATTTTATCAGTTAACTGGCACGTAGTCTTCCTGTAGTGGTGATCATAGCCAAACCCGACTCGACGCTACACTACAGTCTCATGATCTTAGTTAGTGAAATTAATAATAATACGTTTATTGATTTATTCTGAAGAAGCGACTTACATTGAGTGACGAAACGTCAGAAAATCAAATTTCTAATTATTGAGATAATACAAAAATGTAATTATTCCTTAATTAATGGGAGGTTACATTTAAAGATTGAGAAGTGAATCAATAAGGTCTATCATAATATCATATGTAACGTCAACCCAAGGTTACCAGTAAATTTCATATTTTTTTTGTGACTACTTATTATTGTTATATTAAAATTTTTTTTATTATGTACGTTTGATAAACTATTTCATTGAATTATCTGATAGAATTTATTGATTAAAGTTTACTAAATGTATTTGTCTCTAAGTTTCTTTGTGTATGAAATTTTAATGCTAAGAGATTAGAGTTTGATACAATAGGATGAAAAGGTGTAAATTACAGTTTTGTTCAGCATTACGTCAAGTTTTAGCTCAATGTGATAATTACTCAGTATAGTATTTGTTTTTGTTTTGCAATGTGTTATTATAGTTGGTATAATATGAATTTATTTGAGTGTGATATTCATTCAGCATATGATATTATTGTATTAAATCAACATGAACTATGCCCAGCATGACACGCAGCATGTGAGATGTTCTAACTCTGGATATTCTTCATTTATGTCATTTTATTCGAATTAATAACCAAAATCGATGTACAATCAATACATAAATGAGTGTATTCTTGACTAGAGTCGTTGTATTTATAGGGGGTTAATAAATCTCCACCTGTACTAGTTTTGATGTTCTTATCTTACATAGTGGAAATTGTTGTGGTTCCTTTTTCAAGTATGAGTTATAAACAACACGGACATCATAGAAAACTATACACGCTAGCTCACTCTATTTATCTAAATGATAATGTTGACTTTTCAAAGAGATTCAAATTTATGTTATCAACTGTCATAGTTACAGACGTCAACATTGTGCTTTTCGTATTATACAGCGTTGGTGATATCAAAATTCTAAAAAATTGAGTTACTTAGTTACATTATATTTCTTGTACAATAAAGAATACATATACAACCATTTTACTTAGAACTCAGATTCTGTTTGATCAATTCAATTACCAAGATAAAACTAATTTATAATCTCTCCACTAACTCAATAGAAGATTTTACACTAATTCCTGAAAAATTTCATTAATCTGTTTATGAAAACCTTTTTGTTTAACATATTCTATATTTTATATCAATTAAGTGAAATACTCCAATGTTATTTACTGAAACCTCTGCATTCTGTTTATATGCGAGTTCTACTTGTTTTGATCGTCTGTTGGTGAGGTGAACGCCTTTTTTTGTAATTAGCTTATTGTTAAAAAAAAGTCCTTACACTGTAGACGTGTATTGGGCCACTTTTAAGACTCGTTATAATTGCTTATTAATGAAAATTTTATTGACAGAACTTAAGAATTAGGAGTTTAATAGTAAACACCATCTCAATGCCGCAACAGTGTTAGTATCTTGTAATCCCCATTATCTAACTCTAGGAAGTCTAAATAGCCTTATCGGACAATTTAGTCTTAAAGTTTTTGTAGTTAGTTATTTGAATAAACCGTTCTTCATAAATTAACCGTTTATTAACTGCCTGTATCGGCACTTGGCTAACATGGTAGAAAAGTTAGCACATGTGACTACCCTGTAGAACAACCGAACACCACTTTCTGTGGTTTTGAAGAGGTCAGTCGAAAACACTACTTAGTTCATTTTTATCTCACAAGGCCATCGGTGGTCAAGTGATAGATAAAGCTAAATGATTCTAGGTGATCTACCATAAACCTTATTGTTTCACAAATGAATTCCATCGCGTCTCAAACATACAAACATTCGAGTCCATAACTCTAGTCTGTATGGTGAGAGGAAATTCAAACTGGAATTATATGAACAAAAGAAACTTGCCCAACCTTTTCTTTTACCATCATCTTTATTTCTCACACCTTTTTTCCTTTTTCTTTTCTCAAATCTATTTCGGTTCTATCATTTTCTCTATAGACTTTTTACCACCAACTCGTTTGTTTCTGTTTCTGTGATCCTTCTAATTACAGTTAATCTCAATTTTAACATTTTATCTAATCACTTTGAACCTTCCCTTATCAATCATAATTTCTCTATTCATCTTCATAATAAATATTGAAGCTCTCAATCAAAGAAATATAATTAGTTTCATTCACTTGGTGTTAGTTACTTGTATCTTCTCATTGTTATTTAGGACTGTAATTGACCAGTCTCCATCAATGCATCCATCTTTGCTTATAAAGCTTACGACTTCAGGCAGTCCGCACAGTTAGCGCATATGCCAGTAAGTGACTGATCAATAGCAGTCCTAAATAACGATGGGAAGATATAAGCAAACAAACCAAGTGAATATAACTTCACCCCATTGCACAAGCAAGTGGCTATCAGGATTCAGTAACCAACTGGATAACATGATGGTGTTTGAAGTGAATGGTACTGTGTTCAAGTTCCAGAGTGAACACCAACTCTGAGATGCAAGTACATTCAGTTGACGAGTCAAAAACAGGAAGAAACGCGCATCAAACTGGATACCACTACTAGCCACTATTCATCTTTGCTTATAATTAGTTTCCTTAACAAACAAACAAACAAACAAAAAAACACACAACATTTTTATACCCTTATTTATTTTATCTCATTGTCACTATGTTTAGCAAAAACTTTTCAATCATTGTCATAGTGATTATTATTATTATCTTAAGTAATCAATTATTTATTTTCTATTGTATATGATTAAAAATGAATTCACCTTACATAGAACACTTTACTGAATTCATCTTTCTATTTAACCACCAAAGAAAAAAAATATTTAACCAGCATAGTAAACCATTTGTCTTGTTCATAATCAAATTATGTGTATATATTATTGTTACTATGGTTTGACTTGTTGAGTTCAAATAAAATAAGTATTGTAGTGAACAAGAACACGGGTGGGGACAATCGAATTTATTTAACACGAAAATTACAGACTATCTCAATAAAATCGGAATACCATAAAGTCAATCGTCAATTTGCAAAATATCAATGCATCATATCTAATTGAACTGTTTCCGTTGCAAACACTAATCCATTGTCTCCCATTCCATTGTACATGCGTTTTCTTACAAATTCCATTGTGTTCTCGCTCTTCCTTTCTTGATCTTCACCTCATCTTCTGCTGCCAGATATTACGTTTTAACTCGCGACATATACTACTTATATCAATATAAGTAGCACACCACAGTATTAAGTGAATCATTTATAATAGTAAAATATTTATAGAATTATTATAGAATTCTTAGGATAAAGTATTTGAATATGTTTTCTTTTCTTATTTCTTCATTGATCTTGACGATGAATATTGAATAAAAGCCAGTTAGATATTAGTAGTTCAATCAATCGATATTTGAATAATGTACATTCTATTCAATGTATATTGACATCCATCATGATATCATTGATTGAGCCTTTTGTACTTTGTACAGTGAAAGATTGTACAGTTTTCAGAAACTCACCTGAATAGGTTATGTGATTAATACACATAATAATGTATTAAAATTAATTTGTTTTAACACATAAATATTAGTACAAGGGGGCACCAAATATATATGCACCACACAAAACAGTGAGAATGGAGGGAGAAAAAAGAATGTAGGGTGCGTATGAGAAAAAAAAGAAAGAACAATAACGACCACAGATTAGTTTATGGTAGTGTAATGATAATAGTAATAATGGGGGAAACGGAAAGGTACAATCAGAAAGAATTCTTTCAGTTAAGGAAGTTACAACCACCTTTTATGAAGAAAGTAAATGAACGTTACAGCAGGATCGCTACTGGCTTCTATTCTGAGCCATATCTGATAACATCTCTAACCACTGTGTTGGACCATCTCTCGGGCCCCATCCAAGAAGTCGAGAAGGACGAACAGAAGCCAACCCTTTGTAGCTTTGTTTCATACTATGACAACATGTCATACACTGACCACCTCTTCACTTTTTCCAACCAGTCCCAGAGTCGGCAAATAATGCACGATGAAGAATCCTCTGAGATGAAATTCGTAGAACATGTCCAAGCCACCGAAGTATGTGTTTCAAGATGGTGACATCAATTGATTTATAGTCTCTGCGTCCAAACACACGGTGGCGAACCTCTGCATTACTAACATGGTGTTGCCACTGGATGTCATCAATCCTTCGGAGACAATAATGCATTAGAACAAAAAAATAAACAGATAACTTGTTGAAATATCTAGACGTCAGGTA